ATGGGGGATGAGTGCCCTGATGCAGCCTGGTGGCTTTGACAGAAGCCACTGGCTGCACAGACCAGCTCTCCCACGCCCACCCTGTCCTTGGCTCGGACCACATGGCAGTTGTCTGCACTGCTGCTCCCACATCTTACTCATTATCACTGACTGTTCTCAATCTGTCTTTTTCTGATTTTCCTTTTCTTATTCCTCTACCTCCTCAATTTTTTTTTTTTACTTCCATTTGCTCCCCTGATTCCCACCAGTCCCAGGCTGATGACATGCTTTGCTTGGCAAGTTTCCCCATCTCCTGCCACGCTCCCTCCATGCCAACCAGGCCAATACTGCAGAGAGAGCTGGGCGGCCCTCTCAGGCTCGTCGGTGGGATGGAGCCTGCGGTAGCGTTGCCACGGGTGGACTCTTCCAAGCCCTTTCTGCTTTTCTGGGGGATGAGTCTAAGTGATGGTGTGTGTCCAGTGGTCCTGAGGACAGGCAGTCCATGCTCTGCGTGAACATCTCCTCTGCGTAGCCAGTGGGCAAAGCCCTGGTGGCCCCAGCGACCAGTCTGATGGTCATTCGGGTTAACCGACTCAGGACAGTGAGTGATGCCATGAATTGATGAATTAGTACGTACAAGGGGGCCGCAAAGTCTTTCTCTGCCCCTGACCTGCTAGACAGGAAGGAGTTCCCACTCTCGGGGCCACTTAGGGTAAGTCTGTGCCTGAGTGAGACTGGCAGCCACTCGGTACAGTCATCTGGGGATTCTTGTGGAAGGGTAGGCTCCTGACCTCCTGAATCAGAAGTTATCTGCCAGGGAATATGGATCTTAACAAGTTTCTTGAGCCCCTGCTACTCAGACAGCGGACCTGGAATTTAGCAACATCGGCCTCATCAGGGAGCTTGTTAGAAACGCAAATTCACAGCTTCATCCTGGACCTCACGGATCAGACACTTCGGAGGCAGAGCCTGGGGCTCTCGGTGATCTGATGCCTGCGAATGATAGGCTGGGTAAGGTCGTGTGCTAGTTTCCTCTTGCTGCTGTCACAAATCATCACAAGCTTAGTGGCTTAAAATGACACAAATCTATTGTCTTACAGTTCTGGAGCTTAGAAGTCTGAAATCAGTTTCACTGAGATAAAGTCAAGGAGCTGGCAAGGCTGCGTTCATTCTAGAGGCTCCAGGCGAGAATCCACTTCCTTGCCTGTTTCGGCTTCTCACGGCTGCCTGTCCATTTCTTGGCTTGTGGCCCCTTCCTCCTTCATCAGAGTCTATCACTCCAGCCTCTGCTTCTGATATCACATCACCTCTCTCCCATCTTCCTGCCTCCCTTTTATAAGAACCCTTGTGATTACATTGAGCCCACCAGGATAATCCAGGATAATCCCCCAGCTCAAGACCATTAATTTAATCACGTCTGCAAAGTCCCTTTTGCCATATAAGGTAACATTCATAGCTTCCCAAGGATTAGGTCGTGGACATATTGGGGAGGGGCATTATTCAGCCTTCCACAGGCAGTATCTAACGAAGTCCTTGTCAATGTGTAATTGTTACCTGACAACCAGTGCACCAGTGTTTATGGTCCTATTACGCTTACGCATCCTATTAACCCATGCAGTTCCAGAGGCGAGTGAGGGCACTCCCTGAGGGTCCCGTTGAATAAGTGCTTCACTGTCTGGGCACTTCACATGGCTTGTCCTGTTGATTCCTCAGGCAATCCCGTGAGCCGGAAGGGTTGTTAGATCATTCCTACTACACGGTCACTTGAGGAAATCGGTTGAGGATACCAGGGCACTGGGCACATAAATGACTCGCCCACACTCACAGAGCTGACACATGATGAGGGCCGTGTGAGGCAGCCATTCTCACTAAAGCCACGTAGGGGATGACTTTGCTATGGTCCATGGATGGAGCCTTTTTATTCCAATCGGAACAGTGCTTCTCACATTGTAGTGTACATCAGAATCACCTGGAGGCCTTGTGAAAACATAGGCTTCTGATTCAGCCGGTCTGGGGTGGGGTCCATGAATCTGTATTCTCATAAGCTGTAAATGCTGTTTACAATAGCCAAGACATGGAAGCATCCTAAGGGTCCATCAACAGACGAATGGAGAAAGAAGATGCGGCATGTATATAATATGGAATATTACTCAGACATGAAAAAGAGTGAAATAATGCCGTTTGCAGCAACATGGATGGACCTAGAGATGATCATACTGAGTGAAGTAAGTCAGACAGAGAAAGACAAATATCATACGATATCACTTATATGTGGAATCTATACAAATGAACTTATTTACAAAACAGAAACAGACTCACAGACTTCAAAAACAAACATGGTTACCAAAGGGGGAAGGTGGGGGAGGGATAAATTGGGAGATTGGGATTGACATGTACACACTACTATATATATAATAGATAATCAATAAGGACCTACTGTGTAGTGCAGGGAACTCTACTAAATACTCTGTAATAATATACACGGGAAAAGAATCCAAACAAGAATAGATACATGTATATGTATAACTGAATCAAGATGCTGTACACATGAAACTAACACAACATTGTTAATCAACTATACTCCAATATAAAAGAAAAATTAAAAGAAAAAAAAGCAGAGCTCTCTCCGGCTGGTGAGAGAAAAGGAAGGTGGAGAGACTGGAGGCCTGAGAAGAACTCACCTTGCCATTGCTGGCTGGAAGATGGTGGAGGCCAGGTGAGAATGAACGTGGGCCGCCTTACAACGCTGAGACAGAGGCTCCCGGCTGACACCCAACGAGGAATGGGAACCTCCGTCCTAAATCCACAAGAACTGAATTCAGCCAACAACCAATGAATGAACTTCAAAGCATGTTCTTCCCCAGAGCCTCCAAAAAGGAATGTAGGCCTGCCAATGTTTTTTTTTTTTTTAATTAATTTATTTTTGGCTATGCTGCATCTTTGTAGCTACGCGGGCTTTCTCTAGCTGCGGCGAGTGGGGGCTACTCTTCGTTGTGGTGTGCGGGCTTCTCATTGCAGTGGCTTCTCTTGTTGCAGAGCACGGGCTCTAGGCGCGCAGGCTTCAGTAGTTGCGGCACGTGGGCTCAGTAGTTGTGGCTCGCGGGCTCTAGAGTGTAGGCTCGGTAGTTGTGGTGCACGGGCTTAGTTGCTCCACGGCACGTGGGATCTTCCCGGACCAGGGCCGAACCCGTGTCCCCTGCATCGGCAGGCGGATTCTTATCCACTGCGCCACCAGGGAAGGCCCTGCCAATGTTTTGATTTCAGCCAGTCAGATCCTGGCCAGAGGATCCTGGACTCCTGACGTACAGAAACTATGAGATAACACAATTGCATTGTTTTAAGCCACTAAGTTTATGGTCATTAGTTATGTAGCAATAGAAAACTGACACGGAATACTCACAGGAACCAACAAAACACCACTCTCTGGTTGATAACTTTGACTATGGCTAACTCTGCATGTCAATAAAGCTACTAATAGAAAGGAAAAAACTCAACAAGGTACAAGTAGCTATGGGCTGTGAATAGACCACTGTGATAACATGAATAATGGCCAGCCCCAAAGATGTCCACAATCTCATCCCCAGAGCCTGTGACTATGTTGACAGCAGGGTCAGAGTCAGACAAAGGAGACGTGCGGACAGAAGCAGAGGTGGGAGTGATGCTCTTAGACAAGGGAGGAAGGATGCGCCCCTGAAGCCTTTAGAAGGAACGCAGCACCTTGACTTTAGACTTCTGACCTCCAAACTGTAAGAGAATAAACTCGTGTAGTTTTAAGCCACTGCATTCATGGTACTTTGTTACGGTAGTGATAGGAAACTAGTACAACCGCTCTGCGAACAGCGTGGCAATTCCACAAGCAGCATACAAAGGCCATGAGCAACCTGAGGGATGCTGAGAAGAAAAGCCTCTCCACATTTTAGTTTCGGAGACAGACTTCAGAAAGTTCAGGTGAGTTATTGCCTGATGAAAGCCCTTGGGAGAGAGGGAGGAAGTACGGTATATTTCACAGAAAAGGGCTCCTGACTCTTGATTGCTTTATTCTGTGAAAACCAATAGCTAAGTGGCAATGTGTAGAAAGGGAAGGAATCACTGATTGGTTCCAGGGATATGTGAACTGAACTCAAGTCACTTAACAGGGACAATAAAAAGGCCATTCTATTCACTCTAAGTATTCTCACCAAAATTTTTTTAAATTTAAATGTGGTGAAGTATGTAATGATATAGAAAACTGACATATCCTCAAGCTTATGTACTTGAATAACAGCATCTTTGGGAGAAAAGAAAACCCTAGGGGAAGTTTGGCTACCTGGCTCTCCGTGGTACCAATTTATAGGAACCTCTTCCTGACTTTAACAATCTTCAATCCGTGTTTTTGTCTGCTTTTGGTTTTGACTTTTAGCCAGTCTCTCTCAAGAAACTCTTAGACCCTTTGCCACTCAAAGTGTGGTGCACAGACCACGAGCATCAGCATCACGTGCAAGCTTGTTAGAAATGCAGAGCCTCAGACCCAGCCCAGACCTGTTGACTGAGATCCCACATTTGAACAAGATCTCGTGTGATCTGCACGCAACAGAAGATACAGGCAGTAGACCATAGTCATAATTCTTTTCTATAAGGAAAAAGCACCATTTTAATTCTTGTAATGATTAAAAAACTTTTAATTATTTTATCTTAAAAGTATTAAAAGCTCATTTCGGAAAAATGGGGAAAAAGAAAAAACCACCTGCTCTCCCAACATCCTAATGTCACTGCTATTTTTATCTGTGTACATTTCCACACACATACATTGTATCTCCACATCACACTCTTCATTCTTTTTTTTTTAAATTTTATTTACTTACTTATTTTTGGCTGCATTGGGTCTTCGTTGCTGTGCACGGGCTTTCTCTAGTTGCGTCGAGCGGTGGCTACGCTTCGTTGCAGTGCACAGGCATCTCATCATGGTGGCTTCTCTCGTTGTGGAGCCCGGGTTCTAAACGCGTGGGCTCAGTAGTTGTGGCACACGGGCTTAATTGCTCCACGGCATGTGGGATCTTCCGGGACCAGGGTTCGAACCCGTATCCCCTGCACTGGCAGGCGGATTCTTAACCACTGTGCCACCAGGGAAGCCCCCGACACTCTTCATTCTTTTGAAAGGTCTTTTTCACTGATCACAGTCTGAAAACCACAATTTTACCATCATTACTTCAATGGCTTTATGAGAGTGGAATGATTTATTTCACCATTCCCCAATTTGGGGCAATTTTTCACTAATCTAAGGAATATTGTGATAAACGTCTTTGTGCACATATATAGCTTTTGTCTAAATTGAAGATTATTTCTTTAGAGTGGATTTCCAAAAGTGGAATTAATGGGTCCTTGGTAATAAACACTTCAAAAAAAGCACACTTTAAGAAATCAGCAGTACATTGTTTGAGTGTGTGTGTGTGTGCGTGTGTGCGTGTGTAAACCAGGAACTTGTTTGGGGAGCACAGAAATGTAATCTTTTTCATCTAGACTCTGCAACAGAGTGATAATATCTCACCTCTGTCTCTTGAACAACTCGGCCTGGGTTCAGCCTGTGAAAATGATTCTGGCTCTAGGCGATGCCTGGTGACACTGCTGTGAGGAACCACTCGCTCCCAACCTGGGATTCTTGTTTTCTAAGACAGCGTCCTCGGCTGTCAGCGTTATTCCACAACGAAGTGGGTTATAAGGTGTGCTTGCCCCATTGATCGTTTACGCCAACAGGACTGGTCCATGGAAATAGATGGGTACCATTTTTAACTGTTTTGATGGATCATATTAGAAAGTAGCAGTGGTTAAATCATCATCATTCGATTTTTGTCCCTTCATTTTTTTTTAATTGACGTATAGTTGATTTACAATGTTGTGTTAGTTTCCGGTGTACAGCACAGTGATTCAGTTATGCATATATATCTTTTTCAGATTCTTTTCCCTTATAGGTTATTACAAAACACTGAGTATACTTCCCTGTGCTATACAGTAGGTCCTTGTTGGTTATCTATTTTATATATGTCCCTTCATTTTTCACACCTGTCAGAAAGCAAAAGTGGGACAAAGATTTGGGTTTTTTCTGGTGCCCCCTTTTTTATTTTTGTTTTTGTTTTTTGCGGTATGCAGGCCTCTCACTGTTGTGGCCTCTCCCGTTGCAGAGCACAGGCTCCGGACGCGCAGGCTCAGCGGCCATGGCTCACGGGCCCAGCCGCTCCGCATCATGTGGGATCTTCCCGGACCGGGGCACGAACCCGTGTCCCCTGCATCGGCAGGCGGACTCTCAACCACTGCGCCACCAGGGAAGCCCTGGTGCCCCCTTTTTTAAAGTGTACAGTTTCAATGGTTTTAAATAACAACCATCACCACAATCAATTTTACAACATTTGCATCACCTCTAAAAAATCCCTGGACCAAACAGCAGTCACTTCCAATTGTCCCTCAAGCCTCCCCCATCCTCATCCCCCAGACAATCACTAATGGACTTTTTGTCTCTAGAGAGTAACCTATTCTGGATATTTCTTAAAAATTGAATCATACAATATGTGACCTTTTGTGACTGGTTTCTTTCACTTAGCATAATATTTTTAAGGTTCATCCATGTGTTAGCATGTGTCAGATTTCATTCTTTTTATGGCTGAATAATATTTCAGTGTATAGAGAGACCGGCTTTGTTTATCCATTCATCCATGGGTGGACATTTGGGTTGTTTCCAGTTTTGGGCTATTATGAGCAATGCTGCTATGAACATCCATGTGTAAGTTTCTGTGCAGACGTATGTCTGCATTTCTCTTGGGTAGATATCCAGGAGTACAATTGCTGGGTGGTATAGTAACTCTTTGTTTAACTTTTTGAGGAACTGCCAGACTGTTTTCCAAAGCAGCTGCACTATTTTCCATTCCCACCGGCAGTGTATGAGGGTTCCATTTTCCCCCCATCTTCACCAACACTTGTTACTGTCTGTCTTTTATATTACAGCCATCCTAGTAGGTGCAAAGTAGTACCTGACTGTGATTTTGGTTTGCACTTCCCTCACGGTTAATGGTGTTGAACATCTTTCATTATTTATTAGCCATTTGTCTATCTTCTTTGAAGAAATGTCTCTTCACATCCTATGATGTCTATGATGTCACATCCTATGTCTATTATAATTTCCCTCCTATTCTGTGGGTTGTCTTCACTGGTACACGTTTTTTAGTCTACACATAAAAGAAGCTATAGCATTTAGAAATTTGCTTTTGGTTTTCTTTCAACCATAAATTTCTGATGTGCACGCACACATGTGTGTGCGTGTGTGTGTGTTAAATCCAGACATTAAGCAGCATTTTAAAATGGAGTCCCAGAGCAGAAGAAGACCTGTCTGACCTGTTTGTCTGATTAGGACGGTCTGATTCTTACAGTGAGTGAAACGGAAGCAACACCACAAATGAGAATTTATTTTCTCCCTCCTGTGCCCCCTTAGCCTTCCTACCTAAACACAGCTCTCCAGAAATGGAGGAATGGCAAAAAGAAGTAATAAATCCTGCACATTTTAGCAGGATCATCTTGCAAACAACAACGTAATACCCCAAATGGGAGGATGAGTCCATCAACTGAGCCTGGCGAAATCTACTGCAGAATAAGTTCTTAATGGAAAAAAATAATAAAATGTGTCAGGAAATTAGTCCCACATTGACAGGAAATAGGAATGTTCCATGTGTTGGACAAATGGTCCTTTCTGAAGAAAAGTGCCGATGTTTTTTTTTTTTACTAATGACACATGTATGAAGGTTGATTTAAAATGATAGCTGAGCATCTGAAGAAAAGTGCAGATGCTGTCCCCCAAAGGCCCTTGCCATATAACAGAGCAGTGTCAGGAGAGAGATGGATCTAGAAGGCCCTTCCCCTTCTTCCCTGTCTGCACACATCCCTGCCACCCAACCCTCAAGTACGGTCAAGTCTCACCTCTCTCCTGCATCCTCCCCAGACCCCCATCAGCCTACATACATGGCCTTGCTCTAACCCTAACCCTAACCGCCTCCACAGCATCCTGGCCTCCCACACAACTCTGGACTTAACTCTCTGCTTCCTCGGACTGTTTTCTCTGTTAACACTTGTCTCCCCATCTCCCTGCAAGTTCCTAAGGCCTGAAGCTGTCGTTCCTTATACACAAAGGAGGACATCTGTAAGTGTTTGTTAAACTGAGTTACATTATGGTCCGGAAGAGGAGGCAATGCCGCTGGGTCAGCTCAAAGCATCTCATATGGTTGCGTGTGGCCACGGCTGGCAGGGCTGCTGGCAGAGGAGGGGAACAGCAGGCCCGGGGGCCGCTGCTTCTGTCGCCTCACTACTTGGCTCTTCCTATCTGCCTCTTCCCTTCCTGTGCCTCTGCTTTCCATTTGTGTCTTTTTTTATTTTTTTTTAACTCGCTATCCTTCCCACTTAATGATGAGAAGAAAAATGACAGTCACAGAACTCAAAGAATAGCAAAAGGGAGAAAGGCCCGAATTATTGGTTTGGTTCCTTTTCATCTTTTCTTTCTTTTGTCTTTTCTTCTTTTCGTTTTGTAAAATTTGGCCAAGTGAGGTTTGGAAAATTTGTATCTACTTAGAACTGTAGATGGTAAATTTTTGCACATATGAATGCCTAGTTCATAATGAAGGGATGTTTGAGAAATGTTATTATTATTATCACAATTAGCAACGTCTGCAAATCTATATAGGGCTCTGTTTAACTTAGGCTGATTCAATAGTCTAAAATCTCAGAATTAAATTCACTATCAGACAGAAGGAAACCAATGCGTTGCTCTGTCTGACAGTTTTCCTAACACTCATCAGGGCAGAGTTTCCTAAAATGCTACAGACTCCTACCCTGCAAAAATGCTGGCTTCATTTCTGGCAGACGATAAAAACCAAAATCCAACTCAAAAACAGAAATTGGGAGCCATAAAGCTGGTGTGATATCAAATTCAGAAATGAGTGTGGATATCAAGGAGTCTCCACTGGCACTCTTGCGGTTTAGCCCTGGCTCACGGGGCTTTGAGTCCGGCCATCCGATGTTATCAACAGCCGTGTTATCTGTGTTATCTCTTGGGGGAAATGGCATGTTTCAGAATTAGCAAGAAATGATGCTATAGGGCTTCCCTGGTGGCGCAGTGGTTGAGAATCCGCCTGCCGATGCAGGGGACACGGGTTCGAGCCCTGGTCTGGGAAGATCCCACATGCCACGGAGCAACTAGGCCCGTGAGCCACAACTACTGAGCCTGCACGTCTGGAGCCTGTGCTCCGCAACAAGAGAGGCTGCAACAGTGAGAGGCCCACGCACCGCGATGAAGAGTGGCCCCCACTTGCCGCAACTAGAGAAAGCCCTCGCACAGAAACGAAGATCCAACACAGACAAAAAATAAATTAATTAATTTTAAAAAAAGCTTAAAAACAAAAAAAGAAATGATGCTGTAGCAAAAGGTTCCATGAAATGTATCTATTTCATGAAATGTATGAAATGTATCAGTGTGAGAATCTGCTGATTTTACAGAGGGCAAGTGGGGGAAAGGAACATCATGGCCCTGAGAAATCCTCATTATCTTGCTTTGAGAACCTTCCAATGAAAATAGAAATAGGGCTTCCTTCCAGCAGAAGCCTTACAATTAGCTTCTTCCATTTTCATAGAGTGGAAACAGCATTCTCTTAGAACTTTTTTTTTTTTTAGCATAAAAGTCTTGGTTATACGATGTAACAATGATAAAAGAAACAACAGGGGGAAAAGAATGGACCCAAGACGCTGAGATAAAAGGCATGGCACAATTTTTCTATTTGATGTTTTCTGAAAAGTATCATGATCTGACCGGCTTTTTACTTCTTTTCATCCTCATGATGGTTGAGGCCCTGATTGTAGCAATCAAAGTCGAGTGGAGTAACAGTTGAATCAGCTCCCGGGATAACGCAGCTCTAGGAGAACTGTGGAGCTCAGAGCTTTCAAAGTAATCTGCATCAGAATCAGGCGGACGTGCTGGTTGTCAGGGAGATGATCGGTGTGGGGATGCTGTGACTCCTGGCCAGGGAGGCACCCATGTTATTTCAGTCTTGACTCTTGTGTTCTTGTGTGTCATACCTTACAGCTCTAAGAAGGCCAGTGGAAGAAACCTCAGGGCTTGTCTGTCTCTAGATTAACAATTTCTGATGCTG